TATATATATATATATATATATTTTAATAATTATATACAATTTATATATAATAAATAACAATTTTTTTATATTGTATTGAATAAATTATGTTAATTAATTAACCTTAAAACGTTCATATTTACTTATACAAGATACCGTTTCCCGCCTATTAATTTTAAATTGTAATTAAAACGTTGTCCGCGAGAGGTCAGCACGTCAATGGTCAGCTCGTGACGCGCTAGTAGTAAAAAGAGTGAGAGAGTGAAATAGAGTAAAAGAGAGAAAGAGAAAGAAAAAGCTAGCAAGTCAGCCAGCCGGCCGGCTGAGTTTCATTCATAAAATTCATCGAATCGGCTGACTTGCTTGCGTTGGCTCTGCAAACGTGTCCGGATTGATTATACTTTTCTTTGCGATGACTTTACAAGCTATCAAGTGGAAAGATGGAAAGTTGGAAGTGCTCGATCAAGTATTATTGCCAGCAGTTTCTAAATACATCGTTGTCAAGGGCGTCGAGGATGGTTGGAAGGTCATCAATAAGATGCAAGTACGTTCCAGACCACGTTTCACTTCTTCAACAACTTTTAACATTTTTGTTTTTTTCTTTGCTTTACATTTCTTACCTTTCTTATCTTCGACACATATATATTAAATTTACATTAGTTTTTATTATTTCTTTCTATTCTATTTATTGTTTTTTTTCTTTCAATTTAAATTTTGAAATTACATATGAACAAGATATGAGATTACTTATTTCCAAATGACAGAGCATATGTACCATCGTTTTATGATGTTTGCATATGTTATCATCGTTTCATGTTTAATCTAAGCGATTAATTGATATGCTTGATGGTTTATAGTCAAATGTTTGATTATATTTTTTAATAGATGTAATAGTTTTTATTTCCCATATGTTGTTCATACGGTTAACACATTTATGCTTCCAGGTTAGAGGTGCCCCAGCTATAGCTATTGTCGGTTGTCTTAGTTTGTCTACAGAGGTTAGAAATGAACATTTTACGGATAAGAAATCATTACGTCAAGAGGTCGAAGGAAAGTTGAATTATCTTGCATCGGCAAGACCTACCGCTGTTAACATTAAGATAGCGGCAGAAGAGCTTATCAATTTAATCAATAAACTCACAGAAGATGATACCGTAACGATACAGCAAATGAAGGAAGAGTACGTTCATTTGATCCGTTAAATATTTTTAATGTATAATTAATTATTTGTATTCAGTGTATTCACTGTATTACAGATTTTTACGTACAATAGATTCCATGCTTCAAAGAGATATCGCTGATAACAAAGCGATTGGAAATTATGGAGCACTAGAGATATTGAAAAATGTTAACGAGGATAGTTTAGTTAGAATTCTTACGCATTGTAATACCGGTAGCTTAGCGACTGCTGGTTATGGAACAGCTTTAGGTGTAATCAGATCTTTACAAGCAAGAAACGTTCTTGGTAAGTTTCACCTACATTATGTGTATCTAATTATTAAGATGAGATATTTTCAGTGTAAAGAATTCGAGATCTTGTCTGCAGAACATGTTTACTGTACTGAAACAAGGCCATACAATCAGGGAGCACGTTTGACTGCATATGAATTGGTGAACGACAAGATACCGGGGACTTTGATTTGCGATGACATGGTAGCAGCGTTGATGAAGTCTAGAAATATTACAGCAGTAGTGGTTGGCGCTGATCGAGTAGCTGCCAATGGTGACACTGCTAATAAAATTGGAACATATCAGGTAAGAATATTTTAACCAGAGTTTGTTTTTGTACACAACACACACAATTATTATTTTTTTTTTTTATAATAAATTAATAAATGTGAAATTATGTTTTTCTCAGATCTCAATCATAGCTAAATATCATAATGTACCATTTTATGTGGCGGCTCCACGAACATCGATAGATTTTGCAATACCTAGTGGTGATCATATAGTCATCGAGGAGAGACCTGAGAGAGAAATGACTCACATAAATGATCAACGTATCGCAGCGAATGGTATACAATGCTGGAATCCAGCATTCGACATAACTCCTGCCAGTCTTATAACAGGCATAATTACGGAAGTCGGTGTTTATAAGCCTGAAAATTTAATTAAACTATTCCTACAGTAGGATTTATATCATATGGCTTATGTTTAACGACCACGCTTAAAATAAAATATAATAATGATGATGATGATTATAATAATATTAATAATAATAATAATAATGATAATGATAAAAATAATAAAAAAAAAAAAAGAAAAGAAATAGAAAAGAAGCGAAGAGAAATGATATTCGATCAAACGATGCATGCAAAATTGGAACCAAGTGCCAAAACGGGTTTATACCTACTAAGTATTATTCTTTGATATTATTGCAATTCATTGTAATTTTTGATAAGTGAAAGCAAAATAATATTCCTATTCTACGATCAATAACGATGAAAAAAAAAAAAAAAAAAAAAAAAAAAAAA